TTATCCAAAATCTTCTGAATATTTTACTGAATGCAGAACAGAAAAGGCTAGTGATAGACAAAGCCATGAAGAAAAGAGGAGTAGCACATCCACCACGAAAGTCCTGTAAATAACCCTGATCCTATTAAGGGCTGTTCCTTTAGTAGATCCTGATTAAGATCCAAACAATGGAGAGATAACTATTAGACCATTATAAACAGTACATTCTGACAGGATTTAGGAAAAGAGCACCTAAACTAAGAAGCTTGGATAAAGTGAAGGAACTTCAACAGAAGGCAGATGAGTACCTCTCTGAATTTCTAGAAAGAATTTACCAGACATATCAAAAATATGCAGATATGGATCTAGAAGCGGCCAAGAATATGGTAATGATTAACATGACCTTTATAGGTCAAAGTGCCCCTGATATTCATGAAAAGCTTCAGAAATTACATGAGGCTATAGAAATAAATCCATCCTAATTAGCAGATATTGCCTTTAAATATATATAATATGAAAGAAACAAAAAAGTGAAGCAAGCTACAGTCTTTGTGGTTTCTGTGGGGCATAACATAAGGAAGGGAAAGGACATGGCTCAAACAATAGCAGAGAACATCTTGGGAAGGACCAATGTACATATTTCAGGAAAGAAGGGCGCTGGAAGAATGAATGTCTGAAAGTAAAGAAAGAACATAAGAAGGAAGAAGAAGAAAAAGTATGTAGGCAGATGAAGCAATACTGTGATTCAGATGATAAATGAAGTTCAGGGGCTCTTTGTGATTTTTCATGGCCAATTGTAATTTCCCAAGAGCCTTCAGTACAACTGACAGTGGGGAATCAGATTTTTGCAGATAGGCAACTTAATTAGATATCTTGTAGGCAGTTAGACAGGACCAGCCCAGAAGGAGGTAACATGGAAAACAGTCAAGGCGCCAACAGACAGCACAATAAAGACACATTCACTGAAGGCCAGAAGCGTAAAAGCAGAGAGACTATATCTTTGTGCTTCCCCTGGGGGTTAGTAGCAGTGACTGATATTCTAAATAGGTATTGATCACATGAGTGGGGGGCCTTAGGTCTTAACCCAGCCTTTCTAGGAAATATCCCTGACCCCAACAGCTACTGAAAATCCTTATACACTTGCTATATGACCTGCTGTCCCATTTGATGCCCATTTAATGAATATCACCTGGGTGACTGTACTTGTAGTCTTATTGGTTGCTCATGGTTTTATCCCACTTCATGCCCACCTTGTGAATTTCCATTTGGTCTTATAGTTTTGTCCCATTTTGTACCCACCTCACCTCATGGCTTTGTTGTATAAAACATCTTAGAAAAGTGGAGTGGACAGGAACCCATTTTCCAGACAGCCTTCTGTTTCTCTTAGACTGAAGCTTTCTTTCTCTCAATAAATTTTTCCTATTCTTAACGTCCATTGTTCCTAGAATTCATTCTTTGATTTTAGAGAACACGAACTTGCATTTCAGATATCTAGAAGGTTTTGAAGTAACATCTATGTCCCCTATATCAAGATGATGGGTTTCTTAGTGGATTATAGGCATTAGGTATTCTGTTCTTAATACTTGAAGTACTCAAAGTACCAAAAAGACTGTGTTATCACAAGTGCAATATAGAAAAGGCAACAAAGGCCCTTCCTCCAACCTATGGAGTGTAAACTAGGGGATTTAAGGTGAAAACAGCATTCTCTACTTTCCCAAATGCCCACTTCCATTTCTGGGATAAGATTTGTTATGCAAGTTAAGTTAAATGTTCAAATGACTTTCTCTTTTAAAAGGTGACACCTTCTCTGGAAGGTCTCACCAGAGCAAGCCTTAAGATTACAAATGCTGGTCATACACCCTGAAAAGAAAACAGAAGAACTCTTTCCCTCTGAGATATACAAGAATGTGAGTAAAAATGTGTGGGCAGATGGGACCCCAGGTCTAGCATTGAATGTACAACCAGTAAAGGTTAAATTGAAAGAAGGAATTATTACACCTCAGAAGAAACAATACCCCCTCTAGTATAAGTGCTGCCAAAGCAAGCACAATACCCCCTCTAAAAGGAGGTTTGAAAACCAGTGTTGCAGATGTTTCTTAAGTATGAACTAATTCATCCTTGTAGGTCACCCTACAATATTCTAACTCTGCCAGTTAAAAATCTTCATACTAATTCATACATGTTTTTCAGGATTTGAGAGTTATTAATGAAATTGCACAGGATATTCATCCTACAATACCAAATCCTCCTACTGTATTTTCTGTCTTACCTGGAGATTATTATGGTTTTCAGAATTGGCTCTTAAAGGTGCCTTATTTTGCATTCCACTGGAAAACAAAGCTCAACTTCCATTTGCATTTGAATGGCAGTAATCTATATCAGAAGCTACCTTCCAATACGCCTGGACTATATTGCCTAGGGCTTTAAGAATTTCCCCAACATTTTTAGTGAGATTTTAGCCAAAGAGTTCAGAATTCTGCAATTAAAACAGGGATCTTGCTGCAATATGTTGACGATTTGCTAATAGCAAATTCAGATTATGAAAGAAGTCTACCTAACACAATCATCGTGCTTAATCATCTAGCAAACTATGTATAAAGTGCCTCCCCATACAGTTCAGATTTATGAACAGCAAATGAATTACCTCGGTTTCCAATTAAAGGATGGAAAATGGGGCTTAGTGTCCAGTTGGAAACAAGCAATTACCAAATAGTAAACAACTTCAAGCATTTCTAGGAATGGCAGGTATTTGCCAAATTTGGGTTTGTAATTTTGGCCTTACTGTCAAACTCCTTTGTGAAGCTTTAAAACAGCTAGATTTAGAGCCTTCATATTTGGCTGCTGAATGCCAGCAAGCCTTTGACACTATTCAAGATACATTGACCTTGGCAACAGTCCTTAGTTTGCCTAACCCTCAGAGGCCTTTAGATTGTATATACATGAGGGGCATGATATTATAGACAGCTAAATTAGGTAAAAATTAATAAACAGTCAGACAGGGCTAGACCTTCAAGTGAATCAGTACAAAAGATGAAAGTGCATCACAACTGTGGCTGGAAGTACGTCACGTGAAGGCCAGCCTACATGCCTCTCTGAGGGATAAGCAATAACTAGAGATTATAGTATAATTGGCATCACCTATAAAATCCAGACAGGCATCAGTCCCCCACATGGGTGACCAGAGCATCTGGACCCATCTCTTTCCAAAAATGTACCCTTGCTACATGACCCACTTCCCTACTGAATCAATTTTAGCTAAGCAGCTATACTTGTAATTTTTATTGGTTGATTATAGCTTGACCCACATTGTACCTTCCCCATGATTTTGTACTCACCTTATGATTTTGCTTTATAAAACATTCTTGGAGAAATGACTCGTGTAGCAACCCACTTTTAGGACTTCTCCTCCATCTCTCAATAGATCTTTCCTACTCTTAACCTCCATTGTTCCTTATAATTTATTCTTTGATTTCAAGGGACACAAACAACACATCTAACATGTAGGAGGTTACAAGCTATATTCTCCTGTATCAGTGGAACTGGGAGTACTCATTCAGATGCTTGGATCCCACCAATCTATAGCTTATTTCTCAAAAAAAAATTGGAACAGGCAGCTAAAGGATGGCCACCCTGCAGTTATAGGCACCTCTGATATTTTATAGGAGCCACAAAGTTTCACTTCAGGACAGTCTGTTTCTTTGTTTGTACCTCACAAAGTGTTGGCTTTATAAGACCAGAAAGGAGAATATTGGTTGACAGCAGTATGAATAAGCAAATATTAGGCCATCCTATTACATAACACAAATGTTACTTTACAAATGACCACAGTCCTAAATCCAGCCACCTAGCTCACAACAGAAAATAGCTCTAATTTGGAACCTGACTGCTTTGTAATTCTTGACAATTTATTCCAGCAGGCAAGAACTGTAAAATCAATGATAGGCAGGTTATGACTGGAAACTATAGGCAGATGGCAGTTGTTTCATAGAGGAAGGACGATGATGAGCTGGGCATGCTGTGGTGATGCTGCACAAGGTCATCGAAATCCACACCCTCCTCAGCAGTACCTCTGCACAAAAGGCCAAGTTAACTGCATTCACTAGAGCCTTATATGTGTCACAAGGAAAACAAGTAAATATCTATACTGATTCCAAGTATGCTTTTATTATAGTACAAATACATGGTGCTATCTATAAAGATAAAGGGTTTTTAACTTCAGGAAATAATAACATCAAATATCCAATGGAAAAATATGCAATGGAAATATTTGCTCTGCTCAGGGATTTGCCTTAACAACTCTAGTGACCAATATGTACTGCCCAGGGCATCAAAAGGCAAATTCCCATGTGGCAAAAGCTAATCAGAAGACAGACAGAGCTGTAAAACAGACTGCTAGAGACAAACAGCTCATCAGAGCTCTTTTATTTCACTTGGACCTGACTTAGTTCTAACCTCATTACACAGAACAGGATGAGAAATGAGCTCAAGAATGCAGTTTGACTAACATGGACTCAAACTCACTATGGAAACTTAATGGGCATGAGATGACCTTACTCCCTGAAGCCCTGGTGTTTCCAGATTTAAAGCACCTACATGAGGGGACATATTAAGATTGACATGCACTGACAGACATTATATGGCATTTCCTAAAAGGGTCACATCTTAAAATATTTAGTCAAAAGATTACATAAGATGCCATTTGTGTGCTAAGAATAATTCTAGAACTGGATGCAACCCACCTCAGAGAGGAGTACAAAAAAATGAGCTATGCCACTTTGAAGATTGGCAAATAGACTACACTCAGATGCAAAAAAAAATCAGATAATTTTATGTTTTTATTAGTATTTGTAGACATTGTCTCTTGGTGGGTAGAGGCATACCCTACTAGAACTGAGAAAGCAATAGAAGTAATTTAAAATTTCTGTTTAAAGAAATTATTCTCAGGTTTGGAAGACCAGGCTCTATTCAAAGTGACAATGAGTCATTGTTTCTGAAATCACTCAAAAGGTGAGCAGAAGTGCTCGCTTTGGCAACAAAAATACTAAAATTGGAATGATACAGAGATGATTAGCATGGCTCCTGTTCAAGGATGACATACAAATTCATGAAGCATTAAATATTTTAAAAAACAGGTGAGCAGAATTTTCAGATAAATTGAAAACTTCTTTCATCATGGAGATTATAGTCCACAGAAAATACAGAAAAGATGAGCCATAACTTTGAAGAAATGCACTGGCTAAGCTCTATGGAGAGACTCAGTTAAAGTGGAAAAGGTCTTGACTATTCCTCTGCTCCAAATAGACTAGCACCCTGAAGTGGGCTTAATTAATCCCTTTTGAAATTATATATGGAAAATCCTTTCTAACCTCTATAGTAGGAGCTCTACACTTTGATTTAGAAAAATAAGCTCGAAATAAGCAGTATGTACAACAATTAAGTTGAATATTAATTGCTTTGCATCTATTTACTGTTTTCAGGTTTGCACACTTCCACCTTGAAGATAAAGTATTGCTGAAAGCCTGAAAAACCCAGTGGCCTAATTACCAGCTGGCTGAAAAGGGGAAAGGCCCATATGATGTGATGTTGACAACCCACATCTCCTTAAAGCTCAAAGGAATAAAGTCTTGGATCCATCACTACGTCATCAAGCAAGCCCCTCCAGAGAAAAACATTTCTGGCCTCTCTTCATATCCTACCTGGTTCTGTAGGCCAGTACAAGATCTTAGATATTTATTTAAAGGAAAGCAAAAAAAAAAACTAAAATAAGTTATGAAGCTGTGAAATTTTCTTGTGTTGCCTTATGTTGACTTCTGATTAGGTAATACTCTAAAAGGAATAATTGAAACATTGACTACAGTTTAGCCATCCAATCCTAAATTGGCATGAAATCAAGAAAATATTTTCTATACCCCTTATTTGATTCCCTATACACTCAGAAGATTTTGGAGGAAAAATCTCAACAAAGTTTTGAACATTAGTCACCATGCTAAAATCTCTCTTAACCTTCCTTCAAGAGCTTTGGGTTCCACCTGAGATTAAGATTGTCCTTGAAACCTCAAAATCAGGAGTAATACCAATAATTATAGTAGTGGGATTTAAGTACATTATACTGTATATACAAAAAGGATTTAAGCAAGTGTCCAAATTGACTAGCAGGAGCAAGGTTCCAACTACCCTTCCCTAAGAAAGGAATACAAAGAATTACATACACCATGAGGTCAAAACTTTCCATTCCAAAATTTCCAGGTTTCATTCCGATTCAGCAGAAAATAGAAGTCCTGATGTAGGAGATGAAATATAAAATATTATATCTCCCAACCTGTTAGATGTTTGATACACTGAGGTTGTGTTCTCTAAAATCAAAGAATGAATTCAAGGAACTATGGAGGTTAAGAGTAGGATGAATTTATTAAAAGAAAAATAGCTTCTGTCTAAGAGGGACTGAAGGAGTCCTGAGTGGGTAGTTAGGGACTCCACTTTACAGGGAACTTTCATAGAGCAAAACCCACATGGGTAACAGCTATGATTGACCAATAATGTTACAAGGAAAATCACTTAGGTAATACTGATCCAACAAGGAAGCAAGTCATGAAGCAAGAGTACATGGAAAGAACAAAGAATGTCTCAGGTAGGTGAACTGGAAGTCTTGGTCACTGAGTTGATGGATGCCTAGCTAGATTTTACCAGACCAGGTGTTGTCACTTATCTCATTCCTTGAGAAAGAATGTAGGCCTGGTCTTTTTGTCCTCCGTTGTAGTATGTTTATGGTCACAGTTGTAGTATGTTTGCACCTTTTGCCTTGACTCTTTGGAGAGCTCAGCCATGCTTCACTGCCTATTGTATTTTTTTATCTAACTTAGCTGTCTATCATAGTGCCACTGCATTTTGCGCTCTGTAAAAATGAAAGGGAAAGATTGACAGTGAGAAATGCAGTAGAAAGAGGTTTTAAATTTGTTAAAATAACCTGTGGTGTTCTCTGCTGTCTTATTATGATTAAATGGTTACAATGTTTTAATTGAGTGTTAAGAAGTTCGTATCTACTTAGATATAAGGGTTTATTCTACATAAACCACTTTCATGTTATTTTCTCTCCTCTTCTGTACTATTGTGTTAAAATTAAATGGTTAAATTTTTTAACTGTGTTAAGAAGTTCATATCTCCTAAGCTATCTCTTTGAATTTTGTTGTACATAAGACTATTATTTGATTTGTCTTGTGTTCTCTACTGTCTTGTTAAAGATAAAAAATAATTTTTAAATTATATCATTAAAAGGTTTGTATCTGCTTAGATATCTGTTTGAGGTTTTGTTCTACATAAACTACAATTACCTGAGTTTTCTTGCAACAGAGAAAAAACAGTCAATCTAAATTATATATTCTTATTTGGTAAAATACACATTACTTTTTCCATATTTCATTTTAAATCACTTATAGTTCTGTATGTGTACCTGAGAAACCCTAAAGGTATTACTAAACTGTAATTTTTGGCCATATCATTAGTAAATTTTTCCCAAATGGTAATTCATATTGCTAAACGTTTCTGGCAGAAGTAAGTTTGCTTCATAGAAACATTGTCTTTCTTAAATAAAACTGGTCACCGTGTTTCTTAGTTCAAGTCTACTGTAGAGACTGGATTTGCCTCTCATTTATTGGCTCATTTTATATAAGCTAAAAACCTTTGCAGCTACTTGTTACAAAGTTTTAATGTTTCAGGGTGCTGATTAAAAAATAGGCAAGATTAGACTTGACAATGATCTCTAAACTCAACCTAAGAGCTACTCTTCATAAATTTCTTTCATTGCTCAAATTTGGCATAAAGAGCTGTGGCAATGACTCTAATCCCTTCCAACTTGGGACATGTTCTAACTGACCATAACCAAGGAAAGTTACCTTGGAATCTAGGGGAAAACTGCAGATGGTTAATTTCAGAAAAGAAGGAAAGAGATTTAGAGGAAAGAGGGAGTTACCAGTATCAAATAGTCATTTGTCAACCCTATCAAAATAAGTGGAATGGAGTGGATTTTCTTATTTAAAGAAATAAATTTTATTTTTATTTTATCTCATTCTCCTCTCATTCCCCCACCCCTCCCTGTATACCAAAGCTTTGTTCCCATTTTTCCTTCTATTTTAATTTTTTTCTTTTCCCTACCTTTTCTCCCTCCTTCCTTCCTGTTCCCCTTCCCATTTGAGTGCTTTGTTCTCATTTCCCAACATCCATTACACATTTTAGTCCTTATTTTCACTTTGGTATCCAACACTAGAGAAACAATGCAGTATCTAAACCTGTATCTGATTTATTTTACTTAAGAGTATGGTCTGAAGGCCCATCAATTTAGCTATAAATGTCTAAAGCACACCCTTCTTTATGGAAGAGTAGTAATCCATTGTATAAAAAAAACCCAAATCTTCTTTATCCACTCATCAGTAGATGAGCATTTGGGCTGTTTCCAATATTTAGCTAATACAAACTGCTGCTATAAACATAGGTGTGCATATATCACTATGGTATGATGTTTTAATTCTTTTGGGAAGATACCAAGAAGAAGTATAGCTGTGTCAAATAGAATGTTTAGTTTTAGTTTTTGGAGAAATTTCCACAGTGGTTGTACCAGTCTACACTCCCATCAACAGTGGAGAAGGGGTCTTCTTTGCCCACAGCTCATCCAACATTTGTTATTGGTTGATTTTTTAATAGCAGCCATTCTTTCTGAAGTGAGATGGAATCTCCACATTGTTTTAATTTGCATTACACAAATGACCAGTGATGTTGAACATTTTTTCACATATTTATTTGCCATTTATAATTCTTCATCTGAGAAGCATCTTTTTTATTCAGATGCCCATTTTTACATTGGCTCTTTAAATTTAGGGGATCTGAATTCTTTGTATATTCTGGATAATAGTTCTTAATCAGAATAGCTGGTAGGTAAAATTTTTCCCACTGTGTGGGTTGACTCTTCACTCTGCTAGTGGTTTCTCTTACTGTGTAAAAGTTTTTTAATAAAATGAGGTCCCAGTTGTTGATTCTTTGTAGTATTTCCCATGCTGTCTGGGTTATATTCATGAAGTCCTTGCCTGCTCCTATGACTTCAAGTGTTCTATTTTCTTTTCCAGCTGATATAGTGTTTCTGTTTTAGTATTTAGATCTTTGATCTATTTTTAATTTAGGTTAGTGCATGGTAAAAGATATGGGTCTAGTTTTTCCTAGCACCATTTATTGAAGAAGCTATTTTTTCTTCCAGTGAAGGCATTTGGCTCCTTTGTCAAAGATAAAGTGGTTGAGTATGTCTTGAGTTGTTTCTGCATCTTCTAGTCAGTTCAATCAATCCTCAGGTCTCTTCTTTTGCTACTACCATTCTGTTCTTATCACATAGCTTTGTAGTATACTTCAAAGTCAGGAATCGTGATACCCCATGCTCTGCCTTTGTTGCCCAGAATTGCCTTTGCTATTCTAGGTTCCTTCTGGTTCCAATTTGAATTTTAGGATTATTTTTTCTACTTCTGTGAGATATTATGTTGGGATTTCAATTGGGATTGCATTGAATCTGTATAACAATTTTGGAAATGTGGCCATTGTTTCTTCCTATCCAATAACAAGGGATATCTTTCCATTTTCTGATATCCTCTTCAATCTCCTTTTACAATGTACTGTAGCTTTCAATGTAGAGATATTCTTCTTCCTTTGTTAGATTAATTCCTAGGTATTTCATTTTTATGGGATGCTATTGTGAAAGAGATTGTTTCTCTAATTTCCCTCTTCATGACTCTGTTATTCATGTAAAGGAAGGCTATTGACCTTTTAGTGCTGACTTTGTATCCAGCCATGCCATTGAATTTGCTTATCAAATATAAAACTCTTTTGGTGGAGTTTTTAGGGTGTTCAATGTAGAGTAGCATGCCATCTACAAATAATGATAATTTAAATTCTTTCTTCTCTATCCTTATGCCTTTTATTTCTTTCTCTTGTCTAATTGCTATGGCTAGTGTTTCTAGAACTATATTGAACAAGAATGGTGACAGTGGACATCCTTATCTTGTTCCTCACTTTAGAATGAAAGGTCTCAGTTTTGTCCACTTAGTATGATGTTGGCTGTTGTTTTATCATAGATGCCTTTTATCAGATTG